ATGTGAGATGCAAATCCCGCATCCCGTATGAATTTAAGAATTGAATTTTCAATTCAAAAAACTTACTTGTAAAAATTTACAAGTATTACTTGTTATAGATGTATACATATATGTATGCACGCTCAAGTTCCCGCTCAATATCCTCGTATCGGCCTTATATTATTCCTTCAAACTTTGAAACTATATAAGCATATTCCAAACTGTTCAAAATATATCCGAAAATTTTTTCAAGCCAATCGGATAAGTGCATTTTAAATGGTAGCATCTCAAAAAGTGGACAGGGTCAAATTGACCCAGATTGTTCTTCTTGATTGAAAAATAGATGTGTTCCCCGAGGGTTAATGATTTTTTTATGCCACTGAAGATGACTCGAACCAAGAGTCGAAACGTTTGGCGTGTTTAAATAAAGATTTTTGTTCACACATCAACACCTAGTATTTGACTCCGTATCGGCCCTTCTGCATATATATTTTTGAAAAAAACACCCTAAGTAAAGAAAGCGCTACTTACTTGGTGTGAGCATGTCTTCGCTAAGTGGCTGCCGACTGAAAGGATCCGTGGCGCTGTTGAGTAAGTGTCTGATAATAACCGCTTTGTCCATGACAATGCCAGATGGCAATTTTACCGGATCCTCCATGAGAGTGTCCATCAATGGATCTCGGAATTCCTCGGGAGCGTCGCCGTAATCCGCGTCGCGCGCGCGATTGTCCCGCGCAATTATCGCCGCGCGTTCCGCGAGCGCGATAAACCTCTCGATTTCCGTGGTGGTTTTGATCGCTGATCTTTCCAGTCTACTCGCGGCATCGTTGAACAATTCCTTGCAGAACGAACGCTGCAACGAAAAATCATAAAAACAATATTTGAAGTTAAAGCAAGTGTACATACATAAATGTACGATAAAAAAAGAATCGGAACGCTCACTTCATCACTGGCTAAAGCGGCAGCGAACTCGTCACAATCAAGATGAAGATATATGTCAACTAATTGGCTTAGCAATGTCCTCGGTTGCCAACCGTACTTCTGCGGTTTTCTCACTCTCAGATTTTTGCACTTGGGTCCGCACAACTGTTGCAAATTGAAATTAAGCATGGCACATAATCGTCCGACCAATTCCGGTCTTAAAAACGGTTCCTTTATATCGATTGTTAGATAATGAAACATGGCAACGGTTTCTTTGGCCAGTGTTAGATAAGATCTCGCTTGTCTCTCGTCCGTTGCCAATTGCCTTGTCCTCGATTGTTGTTGCTCCTGAGTTAGCGCGCCCCACGCGCTCGTGTCCGACATCAGTTCCTGCACCTCGTGTATACGTTTCAATGATTCCAAACTCTCGTCCAGCAGAAAGGTGGTGTCGTTCATCAGCATGTTAACAAACTTGACAAATTGTTTGCCGTTATTGCTCTCATTGACGATCGATGCTCGATGAACCGGACTGTCCCACATCGATTTCAATATCAGACTTATGTGATAACGTATCGAAAACTTGTCGTAGAACTCGGAACTAGATCCGGTTGTTTCAACGTCGGTGTAAAATTTCATGAGATACGACGCCAAAAACGTTTTGGATATTGGATGTGCCATCACTTGTTCGTAAAGAGTTTCCGTTCTTCCCTACAATAAATAACACGTATATGCGTTAATACATAATAATATGTAATAAAAACAATTCGAGTCTCGTATCTACAAAAAAAACTTATACCTGAACACTTGGATTTATCACAAAGAGAACCTCGATGATTTTTGCAATTAGATATGGATTTCGTATACAATGCGGCGTACACACGACAACCAATAACCAAGTAATAAGTGACTTGTCCATATTATTTGCCACTACCGTGGGACAAAATCTACAAATACAAAAAATTATATTATATAATGAATATATAATGTAATTTAGGATTATTTTTAATGACAGGTGACAGTAATAGGGTAAAAGACCCAATTACTGTCACCCTAAGCTATTTTATTTAAAATATTAAATGAATCCTAAAAAGTTATGCATGAAAAAATATATAATATAATTATATAATATAATATA